AGATGAAGGTGTTGATGCAGATTTTCTTGTCCAATTAAAATCGTCCATGGTATCTTGTACGAAGTTACAAATACTCGGATCTTCAAAATTACACTGGTAAGTATCTAGGGTTTTAATATTACAAAGGAAAATAATTAACTAAATGTAGTAACATTGGGTTGAAAAATACCGAAATTGCTGTAATATCTATTACGGAACTTGAGTGAGGTGCGTGAAAGCGGCATAAAAAGAGCAAGGCGTATGAGAGTGGGAAAAGATGGGATAAACTTAATATTACTTGGTTGTACGAGACGTATAGAAAAAAAACCAAGGAGAGCCACCTGGCATGTTGTACTGAATGTAGGTACCGAACATTGTGTCACGAAATCATCAGTTTGCCAGTCCAATACAATAGTATTAAAATACGATGCGATATACACATGGGTAGCTAATATGCAAATGAGGTGGTATAAACGTTGTGAAGTCAGACGAATTTTTCTCTGCTGCTATACAGCGTCAATCGTCAAGGGAATACGGCACAGTGCGTGCCTGCCGTTAGGTCGTACGGTAGGACCGCACGTAAGGCGGAGAATAGCAATGCGGTTGTGGATCCCGTGCTAGAACGAAATTATCGTGGTATAATTTTGGGTTATTGTGGGTTTCACTTTACACTAGAGCATTGCAGCCGTCGTGTACGGTGAGTACTTTTTAATAAGTTAGGCTTATAATTATCAATCATTGGAATACCCCGCATGAAATGTGTTAATATTTATATCATGTGCACATCTTGTTCTCGCATTTTTGTAAGGTTGGTTATTTTAATTTTAAGGCTGACTCCTTGGTACAAATTGATCGCTCGTCTGAAGGAAGATTGGTGTTAGCCGATACATGGTGTTCGCGACCCATAGATAGAGGCAAGGCAGAGCGGTGAGACAAAGTGCGAGCCAGTGAGTCATACGAGCCAATGCGGGAGCCAGCGAGCCATACATTTTAAATCCTTTTTTTTTTCCACCGGGGAGCTTTGTGTGTGTGTGTGTGTATATTTATATATTTATTTATATATTTTTATATTTATTTGTATATTTATATATATATTTATTTGTATATTCATTTATATATATATAGGCCTGTGTATATATTTATTATATATTTATTTATATATTTATTTATATATTTATTTTTATATACTTATTTGTGTATATATATTTATATATATATTTATTTATATATGTAATATATTATTGTTTTATATTATATACTGTAATTATTTATATATTTATTTATATATATATATATTAATAAGTTCATATATTTTTTATATACTTATTTGTATATATATATATATTTATACATATATATATTTATATATATAAATATTAATATATTTATTAATATATTTATTTGTATATTGTATATATATATTAATATATATATATTTGTAGATATATTAATAAATATATTAATATATATAAATATATGTAATGTCTTTAACATTGTTGTTTAATGAGTTTTTTGAAGTGAGGCCTCTTTGGGGCGCTTTCAGTTCAACTAGTTAAAACGGTAGTTATGGTACCATATGTTCTGCGCTGGATAGCCAGTGATCTTGGATATAGCCAGTAATATTGGATACGTCTTGAGAGGACAGCACAGTTTATTTACCAATAAATGTTCAACGAATGAAAAGTGAACACGGTTATACGACTGGATTTCAATATTGTCTTTTATTGTCGGGCCAGTACAGTAAATAAACTAAGATGTCAATCAAGTCTAGATCATCGAAGCACTCATCGGCAATCTCTCTCACTGCCGCTGAGCCCAGAGCAGATGCTGCTGTAGCGGAAGCCCGCCTCCGATATGCCCAAAAAAGAGCACAAGCAATGGATGCCCTGAAGGCAGAGCTGGAGCTAGATAATATTCAAGTACAGGAAGCCTTAGCCGCAACTGAAGCCAGAGCATCTGTACTACACGTATACGACGAGGATAGTATTGATACTAGCCCAGTGGGTTCACTATTGGAGTTACCGGTGGATGATCCGCACGGCCGCACATCAAATTATGTGACGGAGATTCAAGATGCTGATGATGAGTAGTTGGATGACCAGCCTCTGGATCAGCAAGAAAGAGGTGGTTACCAGGTCAACACTAATAGAGAGGATTCAAAGAAAGTGGAGTTACAGTTAGCCTCTCATATAAGCAGAATCATGTTCAAACGGGACATAATCAAGACCAGCCTACCCACATTCGATAACAAACCAGAAACGTATAATTTTTGGAAACATAGTTTCAAGAGTAAATTGGAGGACCTCCAACTCTTGCCCACTGAAGAAATCGACCTGTTGATGAAGTATACGACCGGCCAATCAAAACAACAAGTGTTAAGCATTAGCATTGCCAACACAGCCTAGAACGAAAAGATGTCATCTACCCACCATTCAGCCACTTTTGCCAGTTTATAAGAAAACAAGCTAAAGTTAGAAACAACCCAGCCCTAACCGGACAGACGCCTCAAGTCAGAGAGCATAGGGTGTCTACTAGGAAAACCAACACTCAACCCGAGCACAAAGCCATGTGCCCTATACATAACTCAAACTCGCACACATTAAAAGAGTGTAAGAAATTTAAGACAGGATCTGCTCAAGAGAAATATCAGCATTTAAAAGAGTTTAACCTATGCTTCAGGTGCCTAGATCCATCGCATCGCAGAAGAGCTTGCAAGGTGCTAATAAAATGCGAGGAATGCAGCAGTACAGATCATGTGACCTCAATGCAGTCACACCAAGGCGGGGAGCAGGCAGCTGAGGAAAATACCACTCGCCAGCATAATATTGCCACTGCCTGCGCACAAGTATGTGGAGACGATACAGCAGTGAAGGGCAAATCATGCGCAAAGATTGTTCCTGTGGTTGTCAGTCACAAACGTGATAAAACAGTGACTGTCCGAACATATGCTAATTTCGGAGAAGCTTCTTGACCTATTTGACGTCCAATATCAAGAAACAAATAATTCGCTCACATCCTGTAATGGAGTAATGCAGGCAAACGGCAGATATGCTAGTGGATTCGTTGTTAGTAATCTGGATGGCACAGACCAATTAGACCTGCCACCAATGAGTGTAATCAGCTTCCAGATGCAAGGGAAGAAATTCCGACACCAGCAGTGGCCATGCAACACCCTCATTTAAATGGTATAGCGCACCTTATCCCAGAGCAGGATGAACGCTGCTCTATCACACTGCTAATAAGAAGGGATTTCATCGAAGCACATGATGTTCTAGACCGACGGGCGCACCGTACGCACAAAGGCTGCGATTGGGTTGGGTAATCATCGGCGAAACCTGCCTTGGAGGGTCCCACATGCCCAATTCCATTGGAACATACAGAACGAGTATCATTATACAAAACAATGGGAAGCCTTCAACATTGGACCCATGTCCCAACCAGATAAAAGTGGAAGAGCTATTTAACAAGGGTGAGGATTCCATGCGTTTATCTAGGGAAGAGAAGCAGTTTGTCAATACCATGGAGACTGAAGGAAAGCTAAGTTCAAATAATATGTGGACAGCTCCATTACCGTTCAGATCACGTAGACCAAGGCTACCAAATAACCGCGAACAGGCATTGAAAAGGGCATGCATACTGCATAAAAGTCTTGTCAAGGATTGCGTCAAAAGGCAACACTTTATTACCTTTATGAAAGGAGTTTTGGACAACGGACATGCGGAAAGGGCCCCACCACTCAACAAGGATGAAGAATGCTGGTACCTACCGTTTTTCGGTGTTTATCATCCCAAGAAAAGGGATAAGATACGAGGCGTATTTGATTCCTCTGCCACCTTTCAGGGAGTGTCATTGAACAAGGTACTGCTCAAAGGCCCTGATTTGACAAATGGACTAGTAGGGGTACTAATGCGTTTCAGAAGGGAAGGTGTCGCTGTCTGTGATTGTTTTGGAGTGGCCGAGGAGCACAGGAACTTTTTAAGATTTTTCTGGCATGAAGAAAATGACATTAACAAACCGTTAGTGGAGTATAGGATGTGTAAGCACGTATTTGGAAACAAACTTTCTCCAGCAGTACTGTTGCTAACTATGACCTACGAGACTTCATCAAAAATGCTGATCCTGATGTAGAATTTGTCAGTATCAATTTCTATGTAGATGATGGGTTAACATCTTGCGAGGATCATGAAACTGCAATATCATTGGTGAAAAGAACGCAGGCTGCTTTAATGAATGGTGGCAAAATACGCCTACATAAAATTGCTTCTAACAGCCAAGAGGTACTAAACGCATTTGATCGAGAAGAAATTGCAAAGGACATCAGAGATTTCAATGTGGAAGTAGGTGGTGCTCCTCTCCAAAGAAGTCTAGGCTTACAGTGGAGATAATGTGAAGATGTCTTCACCTTCCATATTGACTGTGAAGAAAAACCATTCACAAAGCGTGGTATTCTAGCAACCATTAATAGTATATACGACCCCTTAGGATTTGTTTCTCCGGTTTTGGTGCATGGAAGAGTCCTGTTCCGTAACATGATGCTACTCAAAGCAGATTGGGACGATCCACTGCCTGCACACATTAAATATGAATGGGAGTCATGGAAAGCAAATCTACGGAAGTTGGAGTTATTGCGTGTACCAAGAACTTATCACAAAATTAAAAGAAGAGAAGTAGTGGATTCAACTGTACATGTGTATTGTGACGCCTCTGAGCAGGCTGCCATAAGAGACGCCGGTTACTGGGTAACAGGCTGCAAAAGGCTAGTGTCGTCTGTCATACACGAATATGTCATTTGTCGTAAACTAAGAGGCAAGCTGAGTTTTCAGCGTATGGCAAACCTTCCAGAAGAGCGACTAACACCAGGACCTCCATTTAGCCAAGTTGGTGTAGACTGCTTCGGTCCCTGGCAAGTTTCCGCTAGGAGAACTAGAGGTGGTGTTGCACAAAGCAAGCGCTGGGGAGTGTTATTCACTTGCCTATCTTCAAGGGCTATCACACTGAAGTCGTAGGAGAACTCAGCACATCATCCTTCATAAACGCACTACGCCGATTCATTGCTATTAGAGGCAAAGTTCAAGATCAAGGAACTAATTTAGTTGGGGCGATCAACGATGAACACCTGCAGACATACTTAATGAAGAATGGTGCAGAATGGAAACTCAATCTTCCACATGCCTCTCATATGGGAGGGGCATAGGAACGATTGATAGGCGTGACCAGGAGAATCCTAGACTCTCTCCTTTTGGATTGTAAGCACAGAACGTTAACAAATGAAATACTAACAACGTTCATGGCTGAATTTATGGCCATAGTAAATTCACGCCCACTAGTACCATTATCATCGGACCCACAAGATGCGACAGTGTTAAGCCCGTCTATGTTGTTGACCCAGAAGAGTGGTTGTGTCGAAGAGATGGTTGTCGACAAAGACACCAGCAATATGTATCGAGCCCATTGGAAAATGGTACAATGTTTATCGGATAGGTTTTGGAAGAAGTGGAAGAATCATTACTTACAAATTCTCCAACAAAAGCAAAAGTGGTGTAC